TTAAGTATTAAGGTAGCAAATGGACATTGGGTTTCTACTCAAGTCCTCCCTCAATGCAAGAACACTGTGTTCTAATAATCTGGCATTCTATGATGCTCACCTTCCTGACACAATCGCTGAAGACAAAATGGGTGCATAAGCAAATGTGGTGAAGAAAGCCGATGGTGCCTAGTTATCAAAAGATATAGCATCTGGGGTCATAAAGTCTTGAAGTTAAGCAAGTGGCCATCTAGCAGGGAAGTAACAAAACCCACATGGAAGAAGCATACCAACCTGTGTGATCATGAGTTGTCAACGGGATCAGGTATCAGGCATCAATTATATTGATGTGAATGAGGTGGGTTGGAGTCGAGACCCAAAGCCCATCTGTAAACAATTGGACATCCCCTCACCGAAGGGTCACAAGTAAGGAACGAATCAGCCAGTATGCAATATAGCACTGACAAGGCACACATTTCTCTAGTTCTTTAATGCTTCCTACCCCACACCCCCACTATCATGACCCCAGTTCTACCTTACAAATCCAGCTGGACCAAAGCATGTACACTGGTACAGGTAAGAGCTCTTGACACACGGAATCCAGGACAGATAACCCCCTCAGGATCAATAATGGGAGTAGCGATACCATGAGGGGGGAGAAAGGGGAAACCTATCACGATGATTGATTGACATATAACACCCCACCCAGGGGAATGAACAACAGAAACATGGGTGGAGGGAGAAAGCAAACGGTGTAAGATATGAGAATAGTTATAGTTTACCAAGGGTTCATAAAGAATGGGAGGGTGGGGGAGGAAGGGGGGAAAAAGAGGAGCTGATACTAAGGGCTCAAGTAGAATGGGAATGTTTTGGAAATGATGATGCCAACATATGTACAAATGTGCTTAGTACAATTGATGTATGGATTGTTGTAAGAGCCCAAATAAAATGATTTATTTTTTTAATATAGATTAGCTAAAGCCAATGGAAGAAATGATGAAATAAAAGAGCCGAACAGAAAATTCTAAAGAGCAGAAAACACAGTAAAGTATTATAATTAAATGTGCAAAGACCTGGTGTTAGAACACTGAAGGAAGAACATGCTCAGCATTATCTCAAGCTGAAAGAACTGAAGAAAACAAAATCAAGGCCTGAGTTGCAGTGTTCAAGGATTCTATGGTCAAGAATCTTTGAAAGACTATGGAAGGAATACACAAAATCATTATACAAAAAAGAACTAGTTGATGTTCATCTACCTTTTCAAAAAGTAGTTGGTGGTACTGAAAGATCTCTAAGCTCCACTAAAGGCATCAGCAAAAATCAAGGCACCAGGAGTGGGTGAAGTACCAATTGAAATGTTCCACCAAGCTAATGAAGTACTAGAAGCACTGGCCAACCAACTGGAAGAGATCCATGTTTGTGTTCATTCCCAAGAAAGATAACTCAACAGGATATGGATATTTTTGAACAATATCATTAATATTACATACAAGTAAAATTTGACTGACTATAATTTTTAAAGTTGTAGTGCTTTTGAATTATTAAAACATACATTGACAGGAAACTACCAGAAATTCAAGCTGGATTCAGAAAACAACTTGGCATGAGGGATATCTTTGCTAATGTCAGATGGATCTTGGCTGAAAGCAGAAAATACCATGTTTACTTGTGTTTTATTTTCTATATAAAGGCATTCAACTATGTGGGTCATAATAAACTTTGGATCACATTGAGAAGAATGGGAATTCCAAAACACTTCATTGTGTTCATGCTGAACCTGTGCTTGGACCAGGAGGCAGTCATTCCAACAACAAGGGGGTACTGCGTGGTTTAAAATCAGAAAAGGCATGTGTCGGGGTTGCTTCCTTTCACCATACTTTGTCTCTATGCTGAGCAAATAATCAGAGAAGCTGGACCACACAAAGAAGATGTGGCATTGGGATTGGAGAAAGACTCACTGAGCTGCAGATGACACAACCTTTCTGGTTGAGATTGAAGAGAACTTGCACCACTTACTCATGAAGATCAAGGACTAGAGCCTCCCGTACAGATTGCAACTCGGTGTAAACAAAAATCTTCCTAAGGGGACCAGTAGACATCTTGATAAATGGATAAAATGTTGAGGTTGTCAAGGATTTCATTTTCTTGGATCTACAATCAGTGCTCATGGAAACAGCGATCAGGAAATCAAAGGACATATATGGGGCACATCTGTAGCACGAGTGTTAAAGGGCAGGGATGTCACTTTGAAGACTCAGATTTGCCAAGCTATGGGATTTTTGATGGCCTCACATGCATATGAGTTGGGCAATGAATAAGGGAGATTGCAGAAGAGTTGGGGTATTTGAATGATGGTCTTGGTGAAGTATATTCAAAGTACTTTGCACTGCCAGAAGAAAATACAAATCTGTCTTGGAAGGAGTACAGCCACAATGCATCTTACAAGTGTGGGTGATGAGACTTTCATGCACTTGAACATGTTATCGTTAGAGACCAGTCTCTGGAAAAGGACATCGTGCTTGATAAAATATAGGGTCAGCAAAAAAGAGGAAGACTGTCAACAAGATGGATTAACACAGCAGCTGCCAACAGTGGGCTCAAACATAGCAATTGTGAGGATGGGGTAGGGCAGGGTCATGTTTCCATGCGCTGTGCCCAGAGTCACTATGGTTGAAACCAATTCGTCAGCACGTAACAACTACTATCACATAGCACTTGCCAATTCATAGAAAATCCATTCTTAAAATGAAACTTGATTTATTTTCACCTTGATTTGTTTTATGACTCTCCAAACCTAATTTCTTCCTAACACGGCCCTCTTAAAGACAATTGCTCGTTAGCACATGACGTCTCTGTGGTCTTTGACCCTCCCCAACAAGCCTTATCTACCTATTTTTATTTTGGGAGGACTTTCTATGCTGCTGATAATAAAAGAATAATATATTTGGGGATAGATGCATGTACATATGTGCAACTATAAAAGCCATGAAAAGAGTGCTGGATTTTTTAACAGTTTTATTGGCATATAATTTACAAATCTTGCAATGCACTAGTTATATTAAGAAGAGTTATACAATTTATTACCACAATCAATTTTACAGCCCATTTGGTTTTTTGTTATTGTTAAATCACTTTTAAAATGTGTGTGTAATCACAATCAGTTCTAGTGCTTCCCCCCAACTCCCACATTGTTTGCTCCCCAAATCCCCGTGCCCTCCCCTACTTCCATCCCCGCTCCTCTGCACCCCGATAAATCCTTGTACCAGTTACTATCTCTGCATTCACTCCTTCTGTGCTTCCCAAACTGGGAAACCCAACGGAAACAATAAAAAACAAAAAATAAAGTGCTAAGGATAATGAATTTCTTACATGATAGGGCTTCCAAAAGTTTGAGAAAAGACGGAATTACAAATTAATGAAATTTTGCCATGGGATGTTTGAAGCCCCCTCATATTAGAACCCAACCAAACATAATGGCAATCTACGGATGTGGACATTTAAAATACGAGGTGGATGTGGACATTTAAAATACGAGGTGGGCCAGACAGAACACAGTAGAGACCCGAGTCCGTAGCATAAAGTCTGGGGAGCCAGCTTGTAGCCCCTATTCCAGCCGGCCATTTCTCTTGATCCATTTAACCTCCATTCTTGTTCCCTTGCCCTCCCAATCCAGGTGCTGAACCTGTTTCTGGCCTTGCTCCTGAGCTCCTTCAGCGCAGACAACCTGGCAGCCACAGACGATGATGGGGAAATGAACAACCTCCAGATCTCCGTTATCCGGATCAAGAAGGGTGTTGCGTGGACCAAAGTGAAAGTGCACGCCTTCATGCAGGCCCACTTCAAGCAGCGCGAGGCTGATGAGGTGAAGCCCCTGGATGAGCTGTACGAAAAGAAGGCCAACTGCATTGCCAACCACACGGGTGCAGACATCCACAGGAACGGCGACTTCCAGAAGAATGGCAACGGCACGACCAGCGGCATCGGCAGCAGCGTGGAGAAGTACATCATTGACGAGGACCACATGTCCTTCATCAACAACCCCAACCTGACCGTGCGCGTGCCCATCGCTGTGGGCGAGTCGGATTTCGAGAACCTCAACACGGAGGATGTTACCAGCGAGTCGGATCCTGAAGGCAGCAAAGATGTAAGGCCCCGGGCCAGACACCAACCTTGATCATGGCAGAGCAAGTGAAGCCTTCCAGCCCTAGGAGTTGGTTAGTTCAGTGGTGGGCCTGGTAGAGATTCGTGAAGAGCTGGTTCCTTTTAAGGACACGCCCCACCACCCCAATATCATTCTAGACCTTTGCTATATATGGCCTAGATTGCCCTGGTTGGTAACGTTTTATTTCATTGGATCCATTCTCCAGCTCTTGGATCCTCTGGGTCAAGGCTAGACGAAACCTTTTACTACTTTTCCCTGCCACTTTTAACAGTCTGTACCGGTGAGATGAGCCTGTAGTTGAGGATGGTTCCCTGTCATTGTGTTTTAATGGTACACATCCCCTCCTGAGAGACATGTTGAGGGCACTGTGGGAATTGTTAGGAGCCCTGCTTTTACAGGGGTGAAAGCACGCAGTTCAAACCACTTCCTAGGAGAAAGCCGTGACCTGCTGTTTCCATCAGGGTCCCGGCCCATCGGACTGCTTGCTCTTCTCCACCCTGTAGGGTCGCTGGGGAAAGGAACCGGGTTTGGAGTTTATTGGTTTGCCCACCGTGTGTTGGATGATGCCATCAACGCGTGAATGATAACTGACACATCATCCCAGTAGGAAGTGGGGTTCACCAGTCGGGGTGCACGTGCTCCTGCAGTTACTTTCTGTCCCTTTTCTTTGCGTCTCTAGAAACTGGATGATACTAGCTCCTCTGAGGGAAGTACCATCGATATCAAACCCGAGGTAGAAGAGGTCCCTGTGGAGCAGCCTGAGGAATACCTGGATCCAGACGCCTGCTTCACAGAAGGTGAAGGGGCTGACGCCACGCAGTGTCTGCGTTGCCTGCAAACACGTTTCTGTCCGGGTTACTGGCTGGAGGAGGAAAAGGGGCTGAGGGGCCAGCTTCAAGAACTTTATCCCCACACTTCCATTTCTAGGAATCGTTTTATT